TAAACAAAACAACCTCAGCTTTAGCCACTCTTGTTCTGAAGCTTTCGACTGTAGGAGTCGGTTTTAATTAGCGGAGTGAGTTTGCTCAGTTGTCATGGAACTGCTGATGTTCAAACTTATCCATGTCGACTTAAAAGTTTTGTTTTGTGAGCTACTGTGTTCATGATAAAGAGGCTTAAACAGAAACCAAACATTGTACACCATTCAGTGAACATTTTTATGCAAAGGATCTTGAAATAGGTGTTGGCAAACCACAACCTGGTCTTGGAAGTAACATCAACATCAACTGTACTGAGACATTCAGTATAGCTTTGTCTGCAGTTAAACAGGAGTAGCAGTTAGCAGTTTAGTTTTTGGCATAAGTTATGAGCAGAGCAAAACACATCCCCTCATTTCTCTGTATAAACCTGCCAGTCACAGTGTTCATGGGCGTGAAGTAAATCTCTCAATAATTGAAACACACATGATGGCTGGTTGCCAAATCTGCAAATTAGATTTCATGTGTAAAATGATTTATTACACTAATTAGACTCCTGAATGTAACAGAGCTGGGACTTCATTATGGCCCTAAATGTTAGAAATATTATTTTAATACTATGTGGAGTACAGAGAACCTTATTGTCATGGTTTCCAACAATTATGCAGTTGTAATGTACATTCAATTCCATTTAGCAGCAAGTGTAGGCAACAGTAAGCTTCAGGTCTGATGTCACTGGTCTACACTTTTGAGATTATCTGTCTAAATAAAGGTTATATATTATTCCATGTCAGCTTCTAAGGTCACACAAAGCAACTCATAGAGGGGGGAAAAAGTAGCTGCTCTCAGTCACATACACTGTTAGCGTCACAAAGCTGATGGTGACTAAGTTCTGACATCCCTCTGGAAAGGATTTACCAGATGTGCATTTCAAGCAGACCCTGGGGCTCAAATTGTTATTTTGAAAAAGAAAGTTAAGCATTCTAATGTCAAAACAAGACTGCGGCTATGCTAGCTGTGTGAGGCTATGCTTTGATCTGAATGCTAACATCAGCAGGCTAACATGCTCACAATTCAAACTTCAAGATGTGATATAAAGTTAACCATGTTCACCATCTTGTGTGCATTAGCATGCTAACATTTGCCAATTATCCCTAAAACACAAAGTACAGCCAAGGCTGATGGGAATGTCATTAGTTTATCAGGAAGGCATGTACTTGGATGAGGACGTGATGATGTGGTAATCAGCTGATTCACAGTCAACAACGCCATTGTTAACAAAAACAAAGTTAGAAACAGGCAACAGATGGAAATCCAGAAACAGATTGGCTTCAACGCTGTTTTTTGTTTAGATGAGACACAACATCACAACAGATTGCAAACTGAAATTGAATTAACAATGCATTGTCATGACTTTACCAAGTATTACTTATTCAAACAACATTTCATGTTATAAAACTAGCAGCATTATTGGGGTGCCCTCTGGTAAACTGAGGATGAATGTTTCGTCATTTGTGAGACAAGAAATACACATTAGTACAAGGAAATGTGAATTGTGGTGCCTTGCTTTGGTCTCTGGTAATCTCTCTTCCTCATGGAACCATACTGTGTGTATGGAGTTTTGATTTCTGAAAGAGCACTTTCTTGGGTAATGATAGAAGAAGAACACGATAGTAAGCATTAAAAGCCACCCACAAAAACTTAAACTTAAAAAAATAGTCTCTTTAATTTGATTAATGGTTAGCATCATGTTTCTGTGTGTGTGTGGTTAGACATGATTGGAATGAGGACCAGAGCGCCAAAATCTACTGAGGGCAAGATGGTGAACGGGAGGGAGACGCTACGTCTTCGCTCCAAGGGTGCTGCTACAGTTCAGGAAGTGGTGAGTTTCACACGCTTTGCTGGACAATGACTGCTTAACTTCCTGATGTACTCGGTCAGTGACATGTATAAGCACACACGCACGCACGCACGCACGCATGCACGCACACACACATAACTATTAAAATTCCTCATCGAACAATGTCTCTCTCACTTTCGCTGGAAGTGACCTCTGTAAACAAAGTAATTCTCACTTCCTACACTTCAATGCAGGATGTCTCACATAACACTGAACTATGAAGTGAATACACAGACCATATCCACTTGGAGAAAATTCGAAGGGTGAAAAAGTTCAAGAAGCAGTGAACACCTACCATCAATACTCAACTTCATCTGTAACTTTGATATATTTATACAACATAAAGATAAGAGATAAACAATAGCCCAAGATAATATTGGCTCTCACATGTTTTGGAATGAGAAGGAATGCTGTCGGAGTTTTTATCACCATATTTAACATTTTCATCAACACCTCTGTATTTTCCCATTCGCTTTGCCAGCAGAATGAGTTTGAAGAACAGGCCACTAAGAAAGTGGATGATCTGCTGGAGAGCTACATGGGCATCAGAGATCTAGAGCTGGGTAAGATCACACACATACATCTTGGGTCCTTAAAATAGACATCACCTTTGAGTCTACGTTTGCCATTGCTGAAAGGATGTTCACAAACAGATCCAGGAGTCAGTTGGGTCTACTGTGGGCTATGATAGCCTGACAAACTGCCTCACTCACTCTCTCGCATGCTGAGATAGGCCAGCCCACTTCATACCTGGGTCGGATTTAAAGGAAAATTCCTCCTCAGGATTTATACTTGCCACAGAGAATCCACCTTCCTCCAGGGAGCTGTAATGTGTGTGTGCACAGTAATTCATTATTTTTGGAGAACTTACTTTCCCTTGACCCTTTTGACCTTTGAGTTCTGATATTCCGAGTCTTCAGCATTCAGTGTTTCGTGGTGGAGGAAGTAAGAACGACAGTTATTTGACAAAAATATTTCAGCTCAGATCAGTTTTTTTCCCCCAGCGCTTTCATCTGCATCCTCACAGTATTCCTGTGGATAACGTTTGCTTATCATTTTATGCTCAATCGAGTAAACTTCACCTGCTATGGAAGACAGTAATAAGAGTTTAAAAGCTTCAGGAAAAGGAAACATGGAATAAACTATTACTCTCAATAACAATGTGTAAGCAGACATAAAAAGCAATTAGCAGCATCATTTGCGGGCTATTTTCTCTCATACACTGAATAACACAACAACCGAAACATTTTAAATCATTGTAGTTTATTGTGTTGTCAGCTCACATGAAAGGGGCTTCTCCATGCTGAAGGCCCTTGGAAGATTCAGGAATTTGAGTGGGACACATTTAAAATTGCCAGTGATAGCAGTTTGCCCTTTCCCATAGACCTCCAAGGCCAATGGCCTGATTTCCAAATAGACGGTTGGCTGTTTAGACTGCATTCAAAACAGGTTCATGATTTCTTAATCTGCCTGACTAAGATTTAAATAGCCTGACAGTGCATTCATATTGGGGATAACATTTAATTTTGCCTGCTGATTAACATTAAAATACACAATTTTTAGGAGATTTTGAATGTATTTCCTGCACATTTGGAAGGCAGCGGTGCACATTTAAATTCATGTTATGTTTGGTGGTTCATAAATACAGTTTGACATCATTGAGATTGCTCCCGAATCCTTTGTAAATCATATGATTAATTGGCCAATTTAATGAGGAAAAAGACTATAATAGGACATCTAAATGAGTATTTGCTGCATTGTTTTGGATTTGGCTGCTGAGAAAGAAAACTTACAATAGCTATTGTCAAAACTGGACTAATTAAAATCTGTCGCATCCCTTCTTTTCTGCAGCAACCACCATCGTGGAAGCCGGCAAAGACAAGAAGAACCCCGATGACTTTGCAGAGGCCTTGGACTCAGTTTTGGGAGATTTTGCTTTCCCTGATGTGTTTTTGTTTGATGTATGGGGGGCTATTGAAGATGTCAAGAATGGCAGAATGTAGACATTTACCATGAGAGAGAGAGAGAGAGAGAGAGAGAGAGAGAGAGAGAGAGAGAGAGAGAGAGAGAAAGAGTCCTTTGTTCTCTAGTTCATCCAACTGGGAAAACAAGAATGCGTAGAAACTTTTCATTTTTAATGACTTCCTTTAAAACCATAACAGGGACCGCAATCAATTCAACCATTTCCCTTTGAAGAGTTAAATTACAATAATTTGCCGATAAGCCAATAATAAATGTTTCTCTGAATGTTGACAAATCTTTACAATAAACATGGAAGATTGTTGTGTAGTTTTTAAAACACATTTGTTCTGAAATTTAAAGATTGAAATGAACCATTAAGGTGTAGGCAATTAGCCGATGATCTTGTTTAGGAAAAACAGTGACAGTGAAATTTGCTGGTACACAATACAGGCTAATTCCCATTTTGATCAAAGATAAAAGTTTACAAATGTTTTTTTAGGCCCCCATCCCTTACATATAGACCATTATGCAAAGGATATGTTAACAATGTGTCAGGAAACACAACCGCAAAACAGTGGACAATCAGCCAGCCATCTAGGAATCAAGGAAGTTAGATAGGCAACAATAAACCTTTTTCCTCTGATGAAGACCCACTGGGTAAAACAGGAGAGGAACAAGGAGAGATATTTGGGTCATCCCAAAATCAGAATGTATTCGTCTACTTCTCCCTTATTAATAACCTTTACAAACTAGAGATCTACTTACATGATCTATAACTTATAATATGTTTGCAAACAGGTTGCCATTGTATTTATATATAATTTGTTCACTCTTTGTTTAAACAATCAAGTGGCCACAGTGCAAATACAACTTAAAAATGAAATAAATAGCAGTTTAAATATTGTCAGACCTCTAAGTAAGTATCTGAACTTGAACTTGAGAGACATTAATCGCAACTGTCATTGGAAAGTGTAAGCGTCTGAGAATGAACACCAGGGGAAAAATTCCCTGCTGATATGGCCCTGCTCTGCAATTCACATTTCCCCACACGATCATTACTGTCAAACAGGGATCAAGCCCATAACTCCCACAATAAAAACAAACAAACAAGTTAACTTCCTGTTAGTGGAGTTCCCTGCAGCAATTTTGCCTGACAAATATGAAGGTCTTCTTGCTCACTGATATTAAAATTAAAACATTGTATAACATATTCACATGCTTCCCCCTTTTGCCATAAATTCACAGGGAACTGTTCTGGTTTGTTTCGAGGAGAGAATGTAAATATACTTGATGCGTTTGTTTCAGTCTTTATAATTTCAATGTGCTTCTCTCTCTGTCTGTCTCTGCACTGGGGAGCATTTGCTGTGGAAAGAAGGAAGCATCAATCTACATGTTGGAGTTTGACAGTTAAAGGTTTTCTGGCTCACAAAACAATGTGAACAAGTTATAGAGTCATTATTTAAATATATGTAAGCAAGTAAACACTGAAATACAGTTTGACTCAACTTCACTCACTCCGGCTACACTGTTTCAGCTCCATCAGTATTTGTCTTATGATGTTTGAACACTTTGTACATGATTGCACCTCTCATTGAAGACCTGACAAATGTATGGCATATTTAACATGTTTAAATTGTAAGTAAAAAGGTCGAAATCATACAGTAGCTTGAGCCTGTGTGTTTATCAGAAAAGCCCATGTAAAAGAGTTGGGATTTTAATCCTTTATTTCTATGTACAAACACATTTCATTTCTGTCAAGCACATTCAGCATTTACACATTTCTATTGGATGATACTGCTACGGAGTTAAAGCAAGACACATCTCATTGGTGATTGCTTCGGTGATTTGTCTGGTAACTGAGTGACATTTATGAGTGATGATATAATGTTCAAAACAGATCAACATGAATAGCTGGGTGACTGAGTTATCCAGTAGAGCAAGACATGACTGCAACAGTTTAATTACATCATAATTATAATATTATATAATGTATTATTGCTACAATGTTTGTCGTTACACTGCCCAAATAATCAGGCTGAATTTGGATTGTCCAACAACTAAATCATCTCCCTCTCCCTGTTCAATGTAATCATAACCTTTACAGTTGACAGACGTTATAGTTAAACATCTCTAAGAGATGCAGAAATAACAACAGTTGTATTAGCACTGCAGTGAGGCCCAGAGGAAAGGTAAGAAGTAAGGGAAGGTGAATCAGATATAATGAACCCATACTAAGATTCTGTATCAGTCTCAGCTGGTTATAAAGCTGATTCTACCTGTAGAAAAAACAGTGCATGTAAATAGCTTTACATCTGTTTTAGATGACTTATGTGCACTGTGGTGGTTACAGAGAATGTATTTTATCAAGAGATTACAAGCTTGATCCATAAGACGTAAGGGCCCCTGTTCTTCTAAAATTGTTCCTTCAAACATAAAGACAACAACAAAAAATGACATTTTTTGCTTCGAAAAGATAAAAAAGACATAAGGAAAAGAAGAAGAAAACTAGAAAGTTGCATTCAGCAGAACCAGCAAACGGCTCACAGTTGTTGTATAAGACACCTCACGCAATCTTGCCAAAAACAAAATTAAACTCACCAGTCTGTCTGTTTAGCAGTGTCTAAGCTGTGAAGAGGGACAGCAGCCAGTAGCCAAACACACCATACAAACAACAAAATAAAAGTGAGCAAACTGATGTCCCCCAATATATCTCTGAGCACAGAAAAGCAGATGTGGGGGGGGGGGGGGGGGGGGGTCGGTGACGCACTTAACTGTGTTATCACTGCCGGCCAGGAGCCGTAGTGATTGAGGAGTCAGCAGGCAGTAAAAGGCAATGTCAAACAGACAAGAAAAGGAATGTAAGTCACCACAACCACGAGAGGTCCTTGAGCATGTACGTATGAGCATTGTGGCCACACAAAATATTATGCAGAGTGCTGCAGTAGAATGCGAGATTAGCCGTGGACAGACACAGAGGTGCACACTCACTCACAGTCACGCGCAAGCGATCGCATGATTCTCCTGGCGACGATAAAAATAAATGAATTTTTTTTAAATAGTTATAAAACAACTTTTTATAAACAAACCTAACTAAATGAATGCAAAGAAAAGGTGGTTAAAGTAGTAGGCAACGAAGATTCATATTAAAAAGGGTATATAAGATTCTTAAATCCCACAGTAGGATAATGAATGTAAATAGCGGTTTAGACAGAAACAGTGGGCAGCTGGACGATCTCACACAAATTTGATTTAGCTGCTCTCTCTTTATACTTTGCTCTACATTAAAGTGTCATTGCTAATACTGTGATATGCAATAAAATAACAACATTTAATTCTTTCACATCATTGTTGCAATCCTGCTTCTTATCCTGGCCACATTTAACATGAAAACCCATCAGAGCTTTTAGCAGTCAAACACATTCTGCAACACAAATGATGTCAATCTGTCTGCTGCAACAACTCAAATCCAAACAATCATGGAGAAGGAGGTGGTGGCTTCAGTGTAGATGGGGGTGTTACATTTGATTCATGTGCCTCTCCTGTTTCATCTGGTCCCAGGGTGCTCCCAAGAGAAGAGCGAGTGAACCTCCGGACAGTGTCGCTGAAAGACGGGTACAGGGTCATGATGGAGCCACGAGACCATTCGAGGCGAGGGTAGATTCTCTTGAGAACGGCCCTTCGAAACAGGATGTACACCCACGGATCCAGGATCTGGTTCCAGGTGGCGAATCGTATCCATAGGAGTAGGTACTTGATCCTAAGGGGTCCACCGGACAGCACAGTTTGTGCAATAAAGACCTATTGGTGGAGGGATGGAAGTGGGAATAAGGATCAAGGAGAGAAGAAGCAAAGACAAGTAAGACATGATGGAGGAAAGGAGTAGGGAAAGGATGAGATCGAATGGGAAGTTTAAAGAGCGGGAGTAAAAAAGTAACAGGGGAGATAAGACTCAAATTAGAACAGACAGCAAATTATAGTTGAAAAGAGTGGGAAGGAGAGATTAGAAATAAGGAACGAATGGTAAAAGATGAAATTAGTTAATATTGCAAATGCACACAGACACACACATATGTGTTAAGTCTGCAGAGGGAATGGCTAGACTAATTTTGCTGTGGCCATCCGAAGGCAGTGGCTGTTGCAACCCAATTACCCCCCCCTGTTGCACTTAGACTGCAGCATTTTATGTTAGGCATAGCCTTAATAGTACTAGCCCAACAATCTCTTATGGCCAACAAGCTCTTTAATGAATAACAAATTGGCTTATTCCGATTATCCAAATGCAGCTGGTGCCAAAAAAAATGTGGTTCTACTGTGGTCTACACCAAAGCAGTGCAAGGAAACAGTTTTATAAATCCACTTCATGGTGTTACAAATGTTGAATGTGAGTGTTGAGATGAAGTGCAAACCACAGTTTTAGTTGGGCAAACTACTCTCAGAGGCAGATGTGCTCTAGAGACTGAAACAACCAAAGAGTCAATGTTTTCCAGGTTAGAAGTTATCCTAGTGGCTAAGTTCCACTTCCACAGAGGGTGACATTCATCGCATTTTTCAGGAGCATTACGTTTACTGAGCCTGAAGGACTTTTCTTGATGTTCAACCCTTATCTGTAAAGATTGCTGCAGCTCTGCTTCAAAGAAATGTTTGAGTATCTAAAACAAAACCACAATCTGCAGATAGTTAAGCCATGAAGTTTTGGACCATCTGTGTTAGTTTCAGGATGAAAGCAGGCAAAGGCAATAAACTAACAAGACAAAGGGCTGAACTATTCAAGTCAAATGTTTATTAACTGACTGGGAATGGAATGAAGTGTACAGAGCAACAGCAAAAACAAGATGAGACACTGGCTGCACTATGAAGCATGCTGCCAATGAAACTTTGAGTTGATGGGTAACGGTCTGGAAGCTTGCAGGACATCGAGTAAACTGTGTTGTACAGTCCACGAGTTTCATTGGCAGATGTTTAGGACATGCAGCGGTAGCCGGCCAACCACAGACCAAAATTATGATGGGGGTGAGCAGTTACTATGGGGATGCTGTATTATTGTAGCAATCTTTCAAAGCTTTTGTTTGACTTTTTACTCGCCTTAGTCGGGACACTTGGCACATGATGTATATCCAGGGGTCAAATATCTGATTGCAGGTGGCCATTCGTATGTAGAACACAACAATATCACCTCTTACAGGATCAGCAGTCACCACGCTCCTCAGAGTATATATCTGTGCAGGGTGTCACACAACTGAGGTTAGACAGGACTGCAGAAATGTATGTGCTCCAGTCAGGTAGCTTTAGCTCTTCTCTTCTTTACTATGATATCCTCAATTTAAAGTCCCTGTATTGATAATGGAAGTTCTGAATTGGTAACTAGTGGTAGCATCAAAATGTGGTAGATGGCAATGCCTGCTGGGCTGAAAGCAACACATCAACTGGTTTAAAGGAGGGTTTAAGTTTACAGTTTTAGTTTAACCACAGACCAATATGATCTCTTGACAAAGCGGTGAGCAGTTATTAAAAGACACTCCGTCCCCGTCAACCAGTTATTTTTATCAAGACACAATTGGACAAAGAAGAAGGTGTCATGGATGGAGATTAAGCAGGTTGGAGTAAATTATTCATGTTGCTTCTACAGAAATTTATTGTGATCCTCCAGCAGAAAAGTTAGAATAATTATTTCAGGAAAACAGCAGTTTACTATGACTTAAGTTGTATTTTTCTAGCTTGTCCCATTTGTTATAACAGCTTATCAAAGACAGCATTTGCTGAGATCGCAGAAATAAGTGAAATTATATCAAATATTCACACAGGCTGTGAACAAAATGATAGTTTTGCCAGATTAGCTACCACCATTATGTTGCTAATAATATTATACAGAAACCCCATGAATGCAGACAACTACGGTAAGTGCAGTCGAGTCAAAGAATCAGGAAGCCAGCTGTAGAGATGTTTACAATGGACAGTTGGGTTATAATTCTAGCTTCATTTTAATTTTGTTTCCAAATAAATTCAGGCTAACCCAGGCGTTAGTTTTCAACCCGCATGATTGTTGGACCTAATTTTAGTGTTGTTGCCATGTTATCAGCAATTACATGTGTAATGTTATGATTGGCACAACCAATAGCTAGAGCTACAAAAGCAAAATCTAAGTAACTAAGTAAACTGGAGTTTTACCTTAAACGGCAGTGATTTCACCCATGCGCTGAAACGAAGTTTCATCTCAATTTAGACATTAAGGGGCTCTCTGATCCGATCAGAAGGCTTTCAGATCAACTAGTTAGGAAGCTGCATTACTAAGGAGAAATGAAGCATATAGAGTGGGGGGGGGGGGGCAGATAAAAGCAGCGGAGGACTTTGTAATGCCTTAATATGGTTTGAATAATTGAAGGGCAACGCTGATAACAACAAGAGCTGAATAGATTGGGTCGGGTGTTTTACCTGAGGAACCCATTATTTGGTGGACACCCTTAGTTAAAGTGCTTTGCAATATCATAACTGACTATTTTTATCTTACTATTGACGCCAAGTAATGTTCTTTCATTGTCACTTTTGGTTAATGTTTAGTCTGTCAGGTCACACATTTTTAGATGTTAAAGTATTCAACAAATTAGAATCAAAATCTGTGTATGATAAAGAGACATATGGAAGCAATGAAAGTGTGGTGTTTTATGGATAGCTTTCTGGTGGATATTCAAAGCTGGTAATTGCAAAAAATGTGCAAAAGGATACACGTTGGAAAACACAAAGATCCAGTGATCTTGCAGCCAAAGAAGGCACATTCACACAACACACACTGTCACAGACCACAGAGGCCCATACTTATTCAAACAGGTGGAAACAAGGCCAGAGACCTCAGGAATGCTGACCCATAGCAGCTTCACAATAAGCTGGCTTATTGGCTTAGGGGGTCCTCATAAAATAGAATGGTGATCCATTTAAATGTGTTTTGTATAAGAATTACAAAGATAAATACTTGATATTAGAGTTTTTTGGGGGGTCATGCATGGGGTATGTATATAGATAATAACATTTGTCTCATTGACTGAATTTTGGACAATTTCCGGACTTTTTGAACACTAGTTTGTCAAGAGATTGTTTAAACCTTTATTAGATCAATTAATTGTGTTCGGTCCTTTAAGGTGGAGTCAGCGATTCTGGAGAATTGATGTTTAAACTCAACATCCAAACAAATACCACTAATAGATTTACAGTCCGTCTAGTTGGGGCGAGACGGACTGTAAATCTCTCTCTATACAACAATGGCCTTTTGCCTGTCCTGCAGACAAGCATTACTGCACCCTGTTGCTGATTGGCTGTAATAAGGTTGTGTGCCTGGGTCCGAGGCACTTCGTTCGCTTGCCTTTTACAGAGCCAGGGCTGTGAATGGAAACTGGATTTTTTTTTTTTGCGTGATTTTTGTTGAATTTGACAAAGAGTGTATTGGATTACAATTGCTGATGGCACCTTTAACCAATCATTATCTTAGTGTGAAGTTTGCTAATGCCACTCAAGAAACCAGGAATTCCGATTTCTACACTCTTACGTACGTTTACTAGTTGAACATTTACTTTTTTTTCATTGCGGCTTTATCGTTTGTCATAAAGCCAGTCCTGAACATATTACACACACACACACACACACACACACACACACACACACACACACACACACACACACACACACACACACACACATATAAGGCTTACTTATCTCAAAGAGGCAAACTCACCAGGAGGGGGCACCAGCAGATAGAAGCAATGACCATAATCAGGATGAGTTGGACCATCATCTCTATTTCGTGGTCCCTGCGACGCTGGGTCCTATCCTGTCCACAGCACACCTTGATCAGGGTCACAACGCTCACCGTGTTCAGCAAAAATGACACAGCAATGCTTATCAACCCGACCAGTGAGAAGAGCAGGGAGAAGGCCAGGTTATTTCCCTCAGAGCTGATGTTGAAAAAACACCAGGATCCAGGCATCTGCATGTGGTAGCTTCCGATGCCTGTTAGGGGCAGCAAAGCTATGCAGCCTGCGATCAACCACACCATCAGCACCATGGAGACTGTCCGGCACTTGGGCATGCTGGTGGAGCGTGCAAATGGATGGTTGATGCCAACGAAGCGCTCCATGGCCATGGCGGCACCAAGCATCAGTGGACACAGTCCATAGAAGACCATGGACATGCCCATAAAGTTGCAGAAGTGGCAGCTTGGATCTAACAGGCGCCAATTAAAGTGCGTAACATGGAAGGAGATCACGATGGAGCCGGTGACCAGAAGACCCATGGTGTCGGTGACCACCAGGCCACCCAGGAAGATCAGGAAGGAGCGTGAGCGGCTATGTGTCCGCTGGAAGGACTTGAGGAGAACTACGAAGGCAATGAGATTGGAGGTAATACCCAAAGTGGTGAAGATGGATGAGAAGTAGGCCGAGGCGATGGTAGGGTGGTACTTGAACGGAGGGCTGTTTATGGAGTAGCAGAGTGGGGTGTTGTTGGCGAATGGTACTGAGGCATTCATCGTGTTCAGCTGGTGTGGGGTCATTGATTTCAGATGATTCAGAGATGGAAAGACAATACCAGTTTGAGGAATTTCACTCTTTCTTCAACCTCAAAAGTAAAAAGAGAAAAGTTAAACATTGAAACATACAATACAAATTAATTGAACAAAAGATAAGAAACTCTCCAGCTACTGTGAAAGTTGGGCTGTTTTTGTTTACTCTTGTACTAAATAGTGCTTATCCAACTCTATATTCTGACTGGGTATTTTGCAAATCTGCTTGTGCTGAAATTGGTTTCTATCCACCCCTCCATTTTCTATAAATGATTATTCCTATCTGGAGTCGTGCAGGGCTGGTTTATTAAAATTTGTTTTCTTTTTCATATTTTGCCAAAATACCCATCCAATAACGATGTATTCTCCAAAGTATTTGCTGAGATCTGGGAACATGGCTATTGTATATTGCTAGAACAATGTCCGACAATACAAGAAACAGGAGTAAGTTGTAACCAAGCCAACAGTGTAGCCAGATTGTCTTTACTTGGAGGTAAAACTGAAAACGAGGGCAGTAAATGGCTAATTGTGCAGGAAAAGTATACAAGTCAAAGTTGAACCAGGAAATTGGACTGTAAGCTTCAATGGATTATTACAAAGAACGGTTTGTATAATTATTTCACAATTTTCCTCAGTTTTGTCTCTCTTTCCGATGTGGGACTTCCTACTGCTTTAGTTGTTTGCCTTGTCTGAAGTATTTTTTAGCAATTTAGCGATGTTCCCAGATCTCAGTAATTTAGGTTCAATAGCTGTTACCAATAAGAATATTTGCTAAAACTACAAAAATTTGACACTATCCATTAAAATGTACAATGAGTGCAGATTTAGAAGGGACATATAAGCCATATAAAGTCCATTTATACCATGGTCGGGGGGGAATAATATATTATCAGGACACCCACACAAACACACGCAGAGAGGGAAAGAATAAGAAAGAGATGGAGAGAGTGACAGAGACAAATATAGACAGAGAGTAGGGATGCTGTCATATCCTGCCAGGAAATGCAGTTATGTGAAGAGTACTGACAGAGTTACTAACAGGAAATAAACATAGTGTCATATTAAGTTTATGTTGTTAGTTTATGTTGTCCCTAGTGGTCTGTCCCCGATATATACGGCCCGTCAAAGTCAGATTGTTGACTGGCTACAAGCAAAGTGGAGGTAGACGTTGAATCAGTGACGTGAAATCAAGTAAGGGAAATAAATAATCCTCCTTCACTTAAATAAATATTGGTTTGATGGTATTTCATGTGGGTATTGATATCATTCTGGAATAAGATAAATGGATAAACAGGAAATATCAGATGTCATCTCTCAAAATTGAACCGTTCCCAAACAAACCCGTATAACATAAAGTAAATTGATGTTGACTTATGTACCAGCTATCCCTTTCTGGTAAATAAGGCTCGCCATTCAAAGGTCATCTCAGTATATTCCACAAGAGGATTTCCATTGAGTAGGTGGATCAACATAGTTGATAACACTGATCATATCAAACTGTGGATTTAAACCTCCTGTGAGCATCCCGGCACTCATTTTATCAGTGAACAGAAGGTATAAGGTCACTGTACTGTTATGTCCATGCTGGTTTCATGCTTTTCAAGATACTAGAAATTGGGTCAAAAATGGAAAAGGTTAGTTATCAAGATAAATAGACAAATAAAATGATGTTTCCTAAAACAGTGCTGAAGTAAATATCTAACGGAATAGAATGGATGTTAAGTGATGTTTAGTGCACATTGTTAAAATGGTAGAATCTTGTTAATACATGATTTATATTACCCAACAGCCATGGCAGCAGGTGTTTTGTCTGTCTAATTGTCACGTTTTCCCAAAAGGCTGAACACATGAAATCGCAAGAAACCTTTGGATATTCTGCTAAAAGCTAACTACACTATTATCAGGTCCTTCCATACCTTAGAGAATAATCGGATGAGACAGACGGCTTGGCACCAGCTCTGGTATGACCCTAAAAACCTTTTGAGTGTGCCATTAGCCAGAAGAGCCTGTTAGCAACTAAAATCAATGACATATTCAAAATCACTTCACTGAGGCAGTCCGGTAGTTTCAGAGTGTCGAGTGCAGAGCGTCTGCAAAATATGTGTCGAGAGATTCCCAAACAGAGGATCTTTTTACAAAGACAACAATTTTTTTCAAACGTCAAACAGATTGGCTTCCACAAGACATTATTCAAATATAATTTGTGGTGCAAAACAAACATGATATGCTACACTTAAGGTTGCTTGAATCGAAAACATTTTGAGACCTCCTGAATAGTCTGCTGTCCATTCAAAATCCTGCTCAATCCATCAGTTATAATGATTTGTTTTCCTTGTTCGTATTGCAAACCTCAAATGTATTTATAATGTCCCTTGTTAAAAAAGACTGATATGCATTACTTTATCAAAACAAAAAGGCAGAATGCACAACAAAAGGGAGTAATAAATATGGGTAATAAAAATAAGAAACCCAAGCCAAAACCCTTTCCATTTGCTCTATTTGGCCAATAAAGCAGTTTTGGCTATTGTGCGCCCTGTGAGGTGAACAAATAACACAGACACTTCACAGCAGGCTGATTAACTAGGTCTTCTTAATCATAATTTCAAATAAAAGACCTAGAATATCAAATTAACTGGTGTAAAATGTAGACCCCATGATATAATTAATCCTATCAATAATAGAAACCTGAGGCAGGTACCTGGTAAATGCCACAATGTATCATTTCAATTTATCCAATAGTACAGAGACAGAGAGAGGGGAAAGAACTGAAGCGACGATTTTCTTTTCTTTTTACAAAAATCTGACCTGTATGCTATCAAGAAGTCAAACAAGATGTTGACGATGAGCTAACTATATTTCTTTGAAGATTTTGGAGCTGGCCCTCAGACAGTTGGTGTTTATTTTTTACAGGATGGATAGCAAGAAGTCAGGTCTAAGAGCATGGATTGCACGTAAACTACTACTGTATGTTTGATTCAGGAAGACCCAAGTCCACATTTCAAGCTACATCCTTTATTACACCAACTATGTGGGTCACAAGGCAAACTGACACACTGACAATGTGCAGCTGTGCCTCACTGGCCTTCAGAACTATGGAAGTATTTTCTGCAACTGCCCTGGATCCGCACCTTTTCCCAAAATCAAGGGTCAACAGTTTCAGTCTCAATTCTCCCACAGGAGTCGATCTTAGATTTATTTTACCATGTGCATCATCAGTGGGAGTTCATTGATGAAGCCTGGCCAATGTTAATGTCATGTATTACCCATTAAGCTCAAGTAAATGCTTATTTGAACAAAATTTGCCATGACATTTTGGAGAGTTTGGTAGAGTTTAAATGACCTCTCTTTAAAATGGTGAAACAAAGTTCTATTATTTTATTATAGTAACACAAAGTCTGTGTTTGTCCACATTTAATCAGCACTGACCCGAATTTCTGCAGCTGTCAAAGTCTGAAATATGACTTACAAGACGACAAATGATGAAGAAGTTCATCATTAACCTCTTAAACTATGCTCAATACTTGCATATCCATTTTCAAATTGAAAGCAACAAAACAAAACCATTACACGCAAACAACACAACTTGTACTGATGCAACCTTTACAGGGTGTCCTGACAAGCCTATTTATTTTAACTTTTAACTGTAACACCATTTATGATCATAAATGCACAAGGGCTAACGTACAAGTATCATAAAGTGTGTAAAACCATTCCTCATCCCACATTTTAGTTTTTTTGTATGTTATATGATACATTCAAGGTTTCTTTGCATCTTTCACATTTCATATTCATAAGCAGGGCTGTTTTCTTAAAATGTTTTTTTACTTAGTGATTAAAAATGTGTCTTACCATGGAAGCGCTTTCAAGGACCAAGTTGAGTCTCAGTTGGGAAGTTTGTCCATGCAAACTTACTGCATTTGTTAGATTAATAACACAAACAATAGTTTAGAAGAGGCGAAACATCACACATTGCACGCACCAAGTCCCATCTAATGAAAATAAAGTCCTGGAAGTACTGCAGCAGTCTGTGAGCAGGAACCCCCGATCATCTCCACTCCCTTCCTCCGTAGTTTCGATACTGATCTCTTTCCCTCCAATCAGGCTTCCTTCTGCTCAATTCAGCCCTCCCCGGAAGACAAAAGGGGAACGTCTGTAGGGAAGACAGCACATTGTATTTTAGGCAGGAGAATGAGCCGCAGAGAGAAGTCCTAAAGCGTCAAACTGGAGCAAGTAAGTGGTGCACAGTGGGGGACAGGGGCATTTGTCTCATGTTTGGTTTTAATCTGTTCTATTTTGTGTGTATGTGTGTTGGGGAGGTGGAGGTGCTGTCCTCACAGGCTTTAGAAAGGGGTAAATAAAAGACTAGTCAATTCACCCAAAATAAAGCTGGACAAGCAGATGTTTTTATTTCTTTGGTTTCAGGTTTTATATAGAAGCTGACGTTACACAGTTTACATAACTGAGGGACTTATTCAGATAGACATATGCAGTGCAGATGTGGATCACGGCTGCCAAACACTTACAGCTGAGCTCAGGCCTGTAAACCAGCAACAAGGAGAATATAACAGGAATGTAGATAAAAAAAAGAGATTGCAGGATTATGAATGCTAAAAATTATATAGCTTAGCATAAAGACTGGAAGCCTGGGGAAAGAACAAGCCAGCCAAGTAAAAAAAGAAGCAAAATTACAAAAACATGCCTACCAGCAACTCTGAATCTAACTATTCAAATCCACAAACCAAAATGTTAGAATTACAATTGGCTGGTTTTAGGGGTTGTTGCATGGTATAACTATTTATTGAAGTAACTTCCTGGACTCTCATCATCGGAGTGAGATTTCCAGGCAACCAGTATAGGTTGTTCAGATTATACAAGATACTAGGCAGATGGATAAAAATACTCTTTGTTATATTATCCAATTTATAACCACAAACATCAGACAATAAAAACTGAATAATAGTTTCCTTTGGTCCCGCTCTACTCCAGCACGCATGCACACCACTCCACGCATGTTGAACGGAAACAGATGGACTATTATCATCAGTGTATTTCTTTTTGTCAGTTGTGTGAAGCTAATAACCACAGTCTATAACATGTTTGCGTTACGATACCACAAAGTCACAAGAATTCCTCATTTAGCGTGTCCATCTACAGGACCATCTAAACAGCCAGAGACTCACAGGCACCAGCAGCCTTACAAGTTCTCCCTGACTGGACCAACTGACCATAAAATCACCATCACAATCTGGGTCAAATCCAAAGGGGACAAACATGAGCGAGTCGACAAACAAAAGTGTAAACAAAAAAGACAGTGATGGAGTATGGCATCATTATCACACATCGTTGTAATTTCGCTGCCCACGCCAATTACCACAATTTGGAGTGATCTTACTTGGAGCCAATTTGAAGACAGAGCACTTTAATCTGGTTGTGACCTCTGATACAGAGCAATCGTCTGCGAAAGTGGTACAATCACTTTCAGCTGAGGCAAATGATTAAGATTTAGATGTTTTTTTATTCCAGACTCCATTATTCTAATTTACTTGATTCAGGGCTCAGCAGCAGAAATAGATCTTGAAGGGTAAAATTCTTGTGTTTGGCTAGAATTAAGACCAATGAATCTTTATGAGAATATGGGGCAGTGATGGGCATTAATGATACTTGTTGCTTTCATTTCTTGACATTTTCTTTGCAGATATAGACACATTTAGATGAGTTAGCTACACATAATCAGTAAACACTGCAAAAAAAATTACTTCTACATACAAAACTCCACCTAAAACAAAACAATAGGAAATGTTACAATTTAAGTACATCACACAATCGGAAGCACTGAAGTACAACAGAGTGGATGCACTGACTTTACCAAGCCACAGCCTTGCTGTAGGCCATGTTTTCCTATTACAAGAACGCAACTGATATTCCCTCATCTATCCCCCATGTGGTAGATGAAAGGGTAGATGAAAGGGTTTGAGATAAGGAAACCGTGGGTTTCATTCCTAATTTATGTCGGTAATCAGTATTTCATTTTATAGTTAAACACATGATGATTTTATGATTCAGTGTCCTCTCCAGAAATACACCAGCGATGGTTGCATACTCTTAAGTGCATCAGACATTCCAAACCAAGCTGCCTTGTTGCATATATCTACTGACTAACCGTGACAATGACATCAAACAGAAGCTTTTATAATAAATCAATAAAGCCAAATTTCCTCCTAAACGTTTTTTATTTCATTAAGTTATTTAACTCATCTTATCTTGAAGATAATCAGTGTTGAGAATAGATCTGTATGCTGTTTTAATGTGAAACAGTTAATATTTATCAGATTAAATGTAGTTTTCATTCATGTAAGTGTTTAGGTTTGAGTATTGGTCCCTCGCTATGTATTTGGTTAGTAATTAAATGTGAAAAAATACAATGTCCCTGTTTGTTATTCCAAACATTATTCCCAGAGACAAATGGGGAAAAATGCAATTGAGCAACAGATTTTGAACAGTTGACAGTTAAACCACAAAGGCTATTTTAAACGAAAGGTGCAAAATTAAAAATTGAGAGCATGATTTAGGGATTGCTTCCACTCTGAATACAGGGAAGCAGATAGTACAATATAATAGTTTGTATGGGCGCTAAAGACTTACACTGTAGAGTTCGCTGTTTAAAAAAAAATACCCTGAACATGCATGCCGAGTTTGACATTCCAACCAATGTTCGGAAATGCACAAGTCCTCTAATTTTGACAAAATTACCAGATTGTAATACCAGAGAGCTCTTAGTTTTGAGACTTGTTTTGAGACCTTTGTGGGTTTTGAGGGACTGCTGGCCTTTCAATGTCATTTGTAAATGCTTTGTAAGGCATTGATAGTCCTCAATTTAGATCACACACAATACCTAACTAACGACTAGTAACTACCTGACTCAATAATGAATTGCAGTATTAACATGTGTTTATAAAGCATATATTAGCATAGTCCCTTAGTGCATATCTAAATCATTATATGTATAAATGCATCAATACATCTACTGTAAATAAGTTATTAATCATGTACTCATACTTTATAAATGATGTCATTAATCATCTATAACTCATTAATAATTGTTTGTATATATATAATACTTAATTTACAAATGGGGAATCCATCATTTATAAAGTATGAAAACACAACCTTGAAACACATAATAGACGAGCTTATTAATAAAGAATAAAACATTTATAACTGTGTTTAAGAATTGCATACTAATGAGTGTTAATGTTGGTGAACAATGCTTTATAAATGATGAATTAAGTGTTTATGCATACTTAACTAATGCAGAAGCAGAATTAGCAGACCGAACACAGTTCTTCCTCCTACTATCGTATACATGGATCTTATGTAGTGGATACATTTCAAGCATATAGTGCGTAGGTGACATATGTTTTGCTGTGAATTTTATGCCCTTTGACATGATGTTCACACTAAGCTGGCCAAAACTAAATGTCACATCTTCTCTGCGTTTTCCTACCACACTAGACCGACATTTCTCACATCTAAAAGGCAGTGTTTTGCGGAGTGAAGATACCGATCGCATGTTTTTAGTGCATACAAGGCAAACTGAGCTTATCCACAACTATGGTGTGAGTCTGCTCAGACACTGTCAGGTGCTGGGTTTTGGTGATGTCCAGTGACCCTGAAAGACACTGCAGTTTGAGAGAACACATGAATAGATAAAACAGGTTCTGCTTAGTTGAACTCCAGACTGGTCCATTTGGCAGCTTATTGCATTAAAGGTCAGGTGCTAATATCCTCATGTTGCCACTCTAATTCCTTACCTCAGAGCTAGTTGGCAAGCAAGATGTGATTCCTGAATGGTGGATGTTAAAGGTTATAGATCCCCATGTGATGCCTTAATTTCAAGATGGCCTTGTTTGAGCAACCCTGTCTCCTAAAAATTACATTTTTTAGGAGACGTTTATACTGTAGGCATTTACATTCGCACAATATATTAGATCTGTATTTCTCATTACATCACTGTAAATGATTATCCTTAACATCCGTATTACAAGCTAAAAGAAAGCATTTAACAGCAGACTAGAATCTGATATTTGTCTGCACCAAGAAAATCAATGACAATTCCTCTTATCTTCAAAGAGGGTTGTCTATTTCAATCCATAAACATCTATAGCTTTGCCATTTTATTACAGACTTTTATGGTATTGTAGATCAGCGTTAATGTTACCATATATTTGATACCTATATACACAATTTAGATTATAACTATATTTTCCATACTTTTTCCTCTCTCCTAAATAACTGCAAATTATTATTTAAGATTGTAATACAGGTCTTAATACCTCATTGGACATACAAAGTTTTCCAAGTTCTTGGTTGGATATCCACTGAAAATCAAGAAACACCTGTACGGTATCTGGTCTCTGTCTCGGTTTTTTCCATTTGCATTGAGCCAATAGCTGCTGCAATTTGACTGACCGCCAAACAAAACAGGAACCCTAATTCTTTACACTAACCACAAAATCAGCAGATGATAAATTACTTTACCTAAAAAGCAACAACAATATTGTCCCAAGAAGCCACTTCATCAATCTATCCCAGCAAATACAGTATTCCATTGAATGGAAACAGAAAAGGCAGAAATAAACATCACCATACCTTCACCTAAATCTGTCATCTATTCAGAATGCACACAGAACAACACAGATCACTTTCTCAATTCCATAACCACACCACAGATTATAGTGACTTGGCAATTATGTATAGCACCTGTACTACAAGAGTGATTCTAATCATCAAGAAAATTATCACTTTTGTATGGGACCCGAGGGGGAAACACAATACACCTTCCCTATAGAATATATACTGCATATTGTCTGTTATCTCTGCCAATAATCTAATTATATTTGTCTCAAACTTGGATTATTTCTTACCTTAGTGACCTCATGATTATGATGCTGTGCATGAGCCCACAGATGCACAAACAACAGTAAACATGTACATATGTTCTACTGCATGAAATAATATCGTCATTTATCACATTATATAACACTATTCATCCATTTTTAAA